AATCACAAAGTTTAAAGCGCTCTCCTGAAAAATTCAATTTTTCAAATCGGTGTACACGATTACAGAAAAACTACTGGACCGATCGATTTGAAATTTGGCACACACATTCTTTAACTAATTCCTCAGGTATTCACGTCGGCCTTTTTTTAATTTTTATATATTTTTAAATTAAGAAATAACGTTTTTTTTTTAGTCAAAAATCGGGTTTTTGACTTTCAAATTTCCTAAAAAATCACAAAAAAACTAAAAAAAAAAAACGCTTCGTGAATACCTCGGGACACTTATCCTTTAACGAATGAGGTATAATTTTTTTAGATCGGATGATCCTGTGGACTGTTAGGATGTACACCGCAAAACAACTTTTTTTGGAGGCGACTCTGGAGATTCCCTATAACTTCTCTACCTCTAAATATTTTTCAATACAAAATTTATCAAAAATTATTCAAATGTTGTGTTATTATATGGTATTTAATTCATTAAGCTAACTTTAGCCGTTCCGCCACAATAATTTTTTGAAAAGTGGCCTTTTTTGCACCGAATTAACCTTACCCCCCCCTTAATGGTGTTGAAAATAAATTAAATTAGATTACTCAGGTGGACACTCAAAGTGTTGGCGGGACCACAGGCATTCCCGGCTGACTTGCCTCAGACGCAATCATGGTAGAGGTTCTCCTTTGATTTGCGCGGCTTTAAGCTTCCTTAGGAATTAGGAAAGAAAACTGTTACAATTTTCTGAAAAGTTCCATTCAGAGTATTTTGTGTTTCTTCAGGATAGCATACACGTTACAAGTTTCACGGTATGCGTGTTTCTGGAATAAAAAAACACTTATGCAGTGGCCTTCTATAAGTTTCCCAAAGATGGATCTTTGGGGCATTCTCTCAGCTACAGTTTTCGGAGGTTGCAAGCAGTTCTAAAACCTTAAAGGAGGCACTCGTTAAGGAATGGGAAAATACTTATATAAGCGTCCTTCAAAACTTGGTTAATACAATGTCTAAATCGCAATCAACCTAGACGATCCCAGCAACAAAAGGAAGGCACAATCAATATCATACCAAAAAAATTGTTTGGCTATTTTAATCATCAGATCGACTACCTACATAAATTAAATATAAAAATCTAACTGGAAGGAGTTAAAAAAAAATCGAAAAAATCACTTCACATATATACATTTTACTGAGGTAGGTCATGATTGAATTGTTAACCATTCCCTGACGCGTTGGTAAATTGGAAAGTAGCTTTCAGTGTACATCTTGATGTAAAAATTCCAAAAATAAAAGATTTATCTTTTTAATATTCAATAATTATATGGAAAGTTAATTCATTTACTTTTGAACAAACATTCCACACAATTTATTTAAATACAATCCGTTCCGCTCTCTTAGGCAATGAACTCGTATGGAATCGGAGCAAGGGCGATGGGTTCCTCCAGCTTCTTAACGAAGTGAGCCTTCTTAGGCTGTTCAGGCTGCCGCTTAAGATTGACCCACTGGCCCTTCTCCTTAGCCTCCTTCAATAGGCGCTCGTTCTCCTTGACGCGACGAAGGAAGTCCTCACGGCACTTTGAGTGATGAATGTGCTCAATGCGAACATTGACACGCTTGGCAAGAATCTTGCCACGGACACGTTTGTTTACAATCACACCAACTGCGTGCTGTGTAACGTTGAAGATTCGACCAGTTTTGCCGTGGTAAGCCTTGTAAGGCAGACCCTTTTGCACGGCACCATGACCTTTAATATCTACAATGTCTCCAATCTTGAAGACGCGCATATATGTGGACAACGGAATTACTCCATGCTTGCGGAAGGGACGGGAGAACATGTCCCGGGTGCCGCGACGGTAGCCTTTAGAGTTCGTCATTTTGTTATACTGATACCTAAAAAAAAAAGAATTTAGAAACAAATCTCTACAAAGGGGCACTCAAACGCATATATATAAATTCATAATTCGGATTGTTCACCAACCTTTAACGTATCGACGACCACGCGGTTACGAGGTTCAGAAAAGAAAGAAAGATGGCCACCTTTTCAACGTTGCCATAAAGCAAAAAAAATTAATGTTACCATTCTTGCCGGTAATAGTCTATTCACACTGTTCTATATTTTCAGAAAAACGTACAAGATGCCACTAATCATAAACAGAATAACAATAGAAAATCATTTATGTATTTCAATTACGAGACTCACACAACCACCTAGAATTACTAAATATATCGACAACAACAGCTGATCCCATATTTATACGATATTTTTAATCATTTATACTGTCTGCCCACAGTACATTTGTGTGAAACAGTTGGGATTTTTCGCATATGTGAAACAAAACCACAGGATTGCGTCAGATTTGATCATCAATTAATTAAAATGAATTATAGGGTCTTCCCACACACCGTCAAAGCGCATCTACCGTCCGTTGAACAAACGATCCATAAGGTTTTGCTGTTCCGCATATTCCCAAATGGACCGGCATCAAAGCGCATCAAAATCTAACGACCGTTTGTTTCGCGATAGTTAGGCGATAGTTTTTCGGTGCAACTCTGATTTCTTCTTCTTAACAGTGAAAATTTGACCAACACTACGAGAGTGTATACACACACAAATATGGAATTTAAAATGTGGCGCCAAAGCTACAAACATGCCCAAAATAGTTATTGCTGTTTTTTCTGTATATTCTTGCCCCAATTGTTACTATTTAATATAAACTGCTTACCTCTACCTTATTTTAAAGATTTTGGATGCCTATACCACCTATAGACACTCTTCGGGGAATTTGCTCTTTGTTAGAGAAAAATCATTAGAAAAACTAAAATTTCTTGTCATCTAATTCATTTAAATTTAGTGCGGATAAATTCTGACGCAATCTGTGCCTTTTGCTGTTGTACAACAGCCAAAATAGTTGGTAAATGCTCCATTTCAAATTTGCAACTGCCAATTCGACAGTCTTTGTTTACGTATTCATGAGCCACAGCTGATCGATCAGCTGTTCGGATGGCGGATGCGCATTAATGCAGCTCTGTGGGAACACGAGTTTCACTTTTTTTAAAATCCCAACCGTTCCTCACAAATGCGCTATGTGGGAAGACAGTATTATCAAAGACAATAGGAGCCTATAAGATAAGTAACGCCATACAATTTTTTTGCACACGATTTCTTCGTGCTGGCTTTTGAACTGGCTCCAGGCTCTCTTAAATTTTGTTCAAAAGCCAGCGAAGAGAGCGCTCCAGAGCCAGCCGTTCTCCTGTACGCATTCAGCTACGCCGCCGGGTGTTTGTGTGCAAACGGGCCTCAGAAGGCCAATTTCGCAAATAAATTTATTTTCTATTTTAACATCTCTTTAATTTTATATACTTATTGATTTATAAATTAATTTTTTATAATTGATGAATCATAATAATATATTGTTAATTAATTAGTCAATTAAATTAGATAATTGTAAATACATAGGTAATTATGTATGTTCTTAAATCAATTATTTGTATTATTTTGGATATATATTTAATAATAAAATTATATAATATACATACATACAAATAAAATTTAGGTAACTGATTTTCTGGATTTAACTTGTGTACAAATACAATCCATATTTGAGATCAGCTGTTTTTGCTGCCGCTACTATCGCACAGTAGCGCCTTTTCTCATTTAGCGTTGCAAAAATCATATATTTTGAACCAACTAAGATAACCTAATAATTTAAACGGTCAGATAATTGTTGTAAAATATATATATGTACTGCATAATAATAAAAAAAAATACTAACTGTAGCGCTCTCGGTTTTGTGGCGGTTACATTTAGAATTGAAAAAAAAAATTTTTTGATTGATTTTATTACAGATTCTTAATCCTTGAGAAATGTTCTGTCGAATAAGTATGGTTAATAGGGTCTTCCCACACAACTTTAAAGCACATTTACATTCACATCCTCCACACAGCACATTTGTGAGGAACGTTTGGGATTTTTCACAAATGTGATACTCGTGTTCCCACACAACATTAAAGCACATTGCAAATTTGAAATGGAGCATTTACCAACTATTTTGGCTGTTGTACAACAGCAAAAGGCACAGATTGGGCAGAATTTATCCGCAATAAATTTAAATGAATTAAATGACAAGGAATTTTAGTTTTTCTAATGATTCTTCTCTAATAAAGAGCAAATTCCCCGAAGAGTGTCTATAGGTGGTATAGGCATCCAAAATCTGTAAAATAAGGTAGAGGTAAGCAGTTTATATTAAATAGTAACAATTGGGTACATATTGGGGCAAGAATATACAGAAAAAACGCCAACAACTATTTTGGGCATGCTTGTAGCTTTGGCGCCACGTTTCAAAATCCATATCTCATTTGTTCCTCGCCAAGTTTGTTTACATTTTCGTGGTGAATGGTCAAATTAAGAAGAAGAATCAGAGTTGCACCGAAAAACTATCGCCGAACTATCGCCAAACAAACCGTGGTTAGATTTTAATGGCGGTCCATTTGGGAAAATTCGGAACGGCAAAACCTTATGGACCGTTTGTTCAACAGATGTTGCTTTAACGTTGTGTGGGAAGACCCTATAAAATAGTTTTTGCGAACATGACTTTTTCGATTTTTGCAACGCTAATTGTTCGAGAGTAGCTACTGTGCGTTGCCTCCTAACAAGCGGTCGCCAGCACAATATATAAAAATTCAATTTTTTTGGTGCTTTCGCTTGCGTACACATATTCTTGTGTTTACTCGTACAAGCAAACGCATTCTATTTTTAGAACGCGATTGTCGTTGCCATCAAAAATGAAGCCTCATATTGCAAAACGAATGTATGGTCGTGAGGCATCTTGTTAAATCTATTGTCTTTGGTATTATGGACCGTTGGTTCAACGGACGGTGGATGCGCTTTGACGGTGTGTGGGAAGACCCTATTAGTCGCATATGGAATAACCTTTATACATTTAAAATTTCCAGTCAACAATTACAGGTATGTTGAAAAATAGCTAAAAAGCTATCAATGATGGGCATCAGCTGACTACAAACAGTGCTGCACAGTTCTCAAATCCAACACTAGTTCATATTACTCATTTTTATAATATTAGGCTGTTTTTATTGGATCTGTTGGTTTTGCTGGAGTATTGGAAAAGTAACCTTTGGCCCTCTGATACGCAATATTAAAAGAAATTTGGTTGTCCAACAATTGCGAACGATTCCATTAGCTGGTGCACGATTGCACATTAAGGCTAGAACAAAAGCCTGCTGGGAGACTTGGTAACAAGTTGATGACAATTTGGTCGGCGTTTCTGGAGTCTGTTTTCTTTCTGCTCGGACCTTGTAACTCAAATGTCTTCAACCGAAGTCAAGCTGTCGCGGCTATTAATCCTTGCCCAGAAGTTTAATAACTTCTATTTGACTGGTAAGCAAAAATTAACTCTAGGCATTGTCCTTGAAAAAGGGTCTGCTCAATAAGCCTATATACATATGTTTCTATGTACATATATGCATGCATGCATGAGTGGGATGTTTGTATGGTTTACAACCTAAAACTGCAGCGGGACGTGAAGTCTTGCTTGATATTTGTATATCGATTAGTTTGTTTACTTGTGAGTATCTCATCTTCACAACTTTGTACATACATATGTATGTATGAAATGCATGTTCAATGTTGTTTCAATAGAATTTGTTACTTTTAAATACATAAGTATGTATATGTTATCAACCTCCAAAAGTTTCAAATATAGAAAGCTCGACACCAGTTAAAGCTCTTATGCAATAGCATTTTTATCAAGCGAATTTTTAACATACATATGTATATATGTATGTATGCACATGCCTATATTTGCGTACACTTGTTTCTACAAATGTATGCATGTACTTATAATAAATATGGATGAAAAGTTTTCCCACAGGCAATTGGTACATGTAAATATGCCAGTATATAGATACATGTGTACATATATAAAAACATACTATTTGGAAAGATTTTTTTAATTTTGATCTAATTTTTTAATTTTTATCTTGAATATTGTGTCCATACATATGTACATATGTATGGATGTATGTACAGTGGATCGCAGCTTATTTCGTGCAGTCAAGAAACTAAAGTATAAATCATCACTGCTGCTCTACCATAAGAGATATCGAAACAATTTAAATGCAGTGTTTTGAATCAGATATCCTACATTTTAAATTAAAAAAAAATATCTTCCCAATTAATAAGAACAAACAATAATATTAAAAAAACAAATTTATGACCTTTTTTCACGCCGCAGCTTATTTCGTGCAGCTAGTTAAAATGTAAGAAACAATGAATTTTTGGCTTAATTTTTAATTTTTTTTTTTTTTTGGCTTTGGTATTGGTAGCTTATGTATATTTTAAAAGTTTCTTGGCCTGATCACACTAAAATATGAAGTTATGGGGAAATAAGTAAAATAGGATCGCGAATTTCTATTAAAATACGATAATTAGTTCTCTTTCAATTTAAGACAGAAAAAAAATCACCGTGGTACTACGAAAATGTTATTCTTAAATCGCACATATATAAAAACATAAATTAATCGTTTGTCCGTGAAGATTGGGCCAAACATAAGGGCCGAAATGCACCGAATACATTTTTCAGTGAACATTAAGTTCATTACATGGACCAAAAAAAAGTGAAATCATTAACAAACGTCTGCCAAATTTGTTATATAGATAGAGCACGAAATAAGAAACAAGTGTAGTGCCGATTTAATACGCCTCTTGTTGCAAAAATACATCTATAAGGCTCTAGTAGTATGAAAAGAGCCATTTATAAGGAAACCAGCACAGGAGCAACATCAAAACTTTTCATAGGAGCTTATAATTCGTCCGATTTTCTTTTGGAATGTTTTTATCTTTACCAATAAGTAAAAGTTTAACTAATTTAATCCTGATGACAGTATAAATTATTGGCGGAGACCCAATATTGAGCTAGAAACCAAACACTTGCAAGCTACTCTGAAGCAAGGCGGCGATCGTGTCTTATTTGGGCCTAAATGGCTTCCTGTAGAGTAGGAAACCAAATTTTTTTTGGCAGGATCTTGGAAACCAATATGTTCCCTTCAATATAAAATGTTAACTTCTTTCAAAATGTAGAAAACGTGGTCACACGGGATAGTTTGCAAAACTATTAGTACAGCGGTCTCTACTACTTATCGGACTTTCGGAAGCTTTAGCTCACACAAAACGGTCCTAATGACAAAAAAACAACATCAATGTCACCCAGACATAATCATTATTTAAAATTTTTAGCAAATATTGGACTAGCCATCCCAAAAATTAAAAGTTTTGACCAAAATTATCAAAAAAGTAGTGCCTTAGAGGAATTGATTAAAATTAATCTAGAAACATTAAAAAAACTAGTTAATTCAATTGAAACATCATCTGAAAGGTATTCAGAATAAAATAAGAGGTCACATAAAATTGTTTATATTAAATTAATAAAAATAAGTTGAATCAAACGAAGTGCACGAAATAAGCTGCGGCATGAAAAAAGCCCTCAAATTAGTTTTTATTAAAATACAAAATCGTTTTTATAATTAGGAAGATTGTCTTTGTTCAGTATAAATTTTAGTACAAGTACTAAAAGTACTGCGTTTAAATATTTGGATTATCTTCAATCGTTTAGCCACAGGGACGTTTTAAATTTTCGTTTCTTGACTGCACGAAATAAGCTGCGATCCACTGTATGTATATAGGAACTTTATGGCCATTACCGCAAATACAAGTCATTATCAACTTTAGACATCATTAGCAAAAGCGGAATTGTAAGTTAGACAAATTCCGGGGTATCTGGCGAACTTAAGGTGCAAGTGTGGTTTATTAATCGATTAATGATCAGTATACACTTGCTCTCATATGTCTGCGTACATGACAATAAAAAATCATAATTGACTTTAACGTAAAATAACTCTACTAATATTTTGCACTGAGAATCAAAAATTGGTTTATTCGTCATTCAATTGACGTCGCCTCTTTTTTTTTTTTTTGTAGAATTATGAGCCTAGCTATTTTCTTATAATGACCATTTTACCCAAACCCCTTTAAAAATTGCAGTCTCAAAAGTTACAGAAAAGAATATCGTCATTTATTTACAGATTAGTAACTTGTCGGGTAGCCCTTAGTCTTCAAAACTTCCCTTATCCTCTGCTGTTATTTTCTGCCATTCCTCTAAGATTACAGCCTTTAGCATAGGTTTGGATGTAATGATGCGTTTCCATATACGACGCTCCACAAGATCCCACAAATGTTCGATTGGATTCAAGATTGGTGATTGTGGAGGAGTTCGAAACAGTTTTTTTGTATTATAGAGAAGCCAAAGCTTGACATTGTGGGTGTGTTTCGGGTAGGAAAAATAAAGTCCCCTTCCAGACCTTACCTTTTACCACTTTCAATCAAATTAGCCTTCAGTGTTCACAGTTTATCATCGTATAAACTATAATAACGACCTTAATTAAACTCATTTCTTACAAAATTAAAACAAATTTCGGCACTTTTTGCAAAAACAAAAAATAAAAACTGCTTTTTCAGTGAACAGATATGTTTAATTTTCCATTTATATGTTCTTCGTTTTTAATTAGGAAATAAATAACTGTTTATAATGTTTTAAAAAAACTTAATTTATTCGCCTCCACCAGCATGCCGCTCCAGTAGAGCCAGCGATGGTTTATAGGGGTCATAAAAAAATATATATTTAATATCGGATTAGATGGCCAAGGCAGGGAGAGCTGACAATGGACCTCGACAACATCAAAGGATTCCAAGCCCTAAGTATGTGTTAATGGGGGAGTAGTCTGTCCGTGTGTGTGTTGTGGTTATTTGATTTCCCTTCCCCCTTTCTCGTCGCTGCACGCAAGATTTAGTAAGATACTGGTTGCAATAGGCAAACGCAAAATTCAGGCCACTGCCATAGCCGACGAGCACAGCCGAGCAAATCCGCGTGCGCCTGAGTTTTCCCTAAACATCTCGCGTGATCGTTACATTATGTTCCATTTTACAAAAATAATGCAATGCAATGCTTGCAAATAGGAAAATTAAAAAAAAAAAAAAATTTTGAAGTTGTTCCCATGTCGCACTGCTATTTCAGCAAACACAACTGTATGTACATATGTATAATAAAAATAGTTTAATTATATTGAAAAAAATTATATTTAACTTAGTGGATTAAATTAATTGTTTTAAGTGAGGATAAACTAACAACCAACAATACAATTCCTTTTTTTGTCCCCCTATTTACTTATGACAGCCTGGGACATGCCGTGTTAAGGGGTTATCCGGGTTTTGAAACTTAAAAAAGGTTTTTTTTTTCAAACTATTTTATATAATAGTACAAAGTGTCAGTAATGTTGTCCGAAAATTTTAAGTTGATCAAATCAAAACTGAAGGAATGGGAGAAATTTAAAGCCCAGCACGTCGTATGAGTCACAACTGACAATTCGAAAAACGTTCTCGAAACCACTTTTTCGAAGTCGGTAGTCTCGTTTTCTCGAAAACTATTGCACCGATCGACTTCTGCTTTTGCACACTTCTTCTAGACATGGTTTTGTTGTCGTTGAACGAAGGATTTTTATCTTCAATTACAACTCATTTTATAAAAAAGGCCAAAAATGACGTAAAATATGACACTTTTTATAAAAAGCGCTACCAAAAATTAAATTTTTAATTTAAAAAAATCCAAGCCAGACACACGGCGGCGGCGTAGTAGTCAGAAAGAACCGGCGGCGGCGATTATTTATATGAGTATTTGGCAGGGTATTATAATTTTAGTCAGAAGTTTGCAACGCAGTGAAGGAGACGTTTCCGACCCTTTATTCTCGATCAGCATCAATAGCCGAGTCGATCTAGCCATGTCCGTCTGTCCGTTTCTACGCAAACTAGTCCCTCATTTTTAAAGTTATCTGAATGAAACTTTGCATATAGTCTTCTATATACTCTCACTGCTATATATGTCGGAACGGGACGGATCGAACGACAATATCATATAGCTGCCATACAAATGTTCGACAAATTTTTGGAAAAAGAATTATAACTTGGCTGTTTTTCAATATTATTCCATAATTTTTGATATTTTTATATTATTCCAGAATTTTTGTAAAAATTTTATGAAAATCGGACGACTATATCTTATAGCTGCCATAGGAACGATAGGGGAAGTAATAGAAAAAATTATAACTTTGTTGTTTTTCAACGTATTTTCATCTACTCTGAGATATGAGATTAACTTATTATTATAGAATTTAGGTATACATTTTATGAAAATCGGACAACTATATCATATAGCTGCCATAGAAGCGATCCGTAGATGTAGAGAAAATGTAAAGCTGGGAATGTGTAACTGTCAAACTGTAAACATAATAAGTATAGTTTAAATGTTATGAAACTATGTTTAGTGTCTG